CTTTAGCGGCGCCCAGTGCAGGATGGTGCTGGAGGCGGCGGCGGCCGTGGTGGCGGCGGCGGCGTCGTTGGCTGCAACGGGAGGGGGTGCTGTGGCGGCAGCGGCGGCGGCGCCCGCGGTTGGTGTAAAATGGCGGATTTCGAAGAGTTGAGGGTAAGCGGGGGCGCGGGAGTGCAGAGTGGAGGCCGCGGGGGAGGGGAGGGGAGGCGGGGAAGCCGCAACATCGCCGGCCGCCACCTTCTTGCGACGCGGGGACGGGCTTGTGGAGCCCCGAGTCCCGGCCAGCGTCGGAGCATTGGCCGGGGCAGGCGGCGGGAGGGGGAGGGGAGCGAGGCAGCGGAGGACGCTCGGGCCGCGTCGGGGTTGACGGGGCCGGGGCCCAGGGCTAGCGGCCCGTTCTGGGTTTCTCACACCTGGCGCGGGGAACCGGGGTCGCTCTCGGGAGGGTCTCGTAGGGACACGACTTCCCCGTGAGGTGGGAAGCAGGATTTGGTTTTCCACCTTCGCGAGGGGCGTCCGAGTCTGTGGCGATTCAGAAGTGCACATGCTACTCACTTGGTGGGAGACTGTTATTCTGAAACGTTGAGTTGCGCTTAGTCTCTTTTCTCTATGACTGATGATGCTACTGTTTAGTGAGATGGGTCACGAGAATGGCCCCTTACACCAGTGCTTACTCAACGTGTTGGAGACAAGCGTTGTCTTTTGGGGGACCCCACCTTCAAGTATCGGCCTTCAACCTTGGTATTTTCTTAGTGCTATGGTAAGAAATCCGCAAAGTCTGTGTTGCCTTGAGGTTTGTTTGTGAACTCGTTTTGCTCTTGAGGAAAAACATTTTCTCTCGTAGCCTTAGAACAAGGTCACAACTTTGTTGATACCTTTGTCCAGTAGAGGTTTGAAAAGGGGTGCGCTGGAAGTCAAACGTAAAGAATATTACCCCCCACCCCACCCCCAGGCTAATTAACCTTCAGAGTCCTCAGCGAAACAAAACGGTGATAAACGAGCCGGATTTATTTTTTATGGCTCACTTGAATTACTGGTGACATAACTGGAATACTTAAGGATGGAAACACTGATTTTAAAAACAGAGTCAAAGTAGAGATGAATGTGAACTTGAATTTAAATTAGCTGCAAACCTTTTGTGTAACATGGATGAATGGTGTTAGGATTAAATTTTTGGAATAAGAAGGAAAGGAACTGGTAAAAGATTCAGTTTTGTATGTTTATTATTGTTAGGGGAGGGATGGGGTCGGGGAAGGATGTTGGCTGGTGACCTGGCTGGTACAGTGGACATCAGCAAAAGAATGTATTGGTGTTTCTGATCTAAAGGGAGATTGTTATAGTTTGTATAATGCCTGTCATTTTTTCTCTCTTGCTGTTTCAAGAATTTTTAAATTCCCAGTAAAAAGTATATTCATGAATTACTGCCCTATACTAGTTTATGCAGAGAACCATGATAGTAGGTAAAAGGTGTTTGTAAGGATAAAGTATAAGGATTTTAGCGTTTCAGAACCCAGCTGCAGAGCTTTTAACACCTGTGGAGCCTCATGGGTGTAAATTCATGTATTAGGTTTGCGATGAGTTGAGAAGACTGCGTTTAAAGTTAAATTTATTTTTACCTGCAGTATTGTCTTAATGTTTGTGTAATAACAGATGTACGAGTATACAACTTTTCTCAGATTTTTTGTTGGTGAAAACTTTTCCAAGTCTTGTATTACATTTTTACATGTTGTTGGTCAAAGCTTAATAAGAAGCAGAGAATTTATTTACTGGTATAGAGCAGAAAGAACAGTCAGTACTTTGGTTGGAGTGGAACGAGAAACTGCAAAGTGGTTGGAAACCAAAGAAACTTTTCTCTGTCTTGCTCTCCCTTCCCCTTCTCCCCGTTTTCCAATTTGTTTTGTGGGTCAGCTTCATCATCTCTTTCTGTAAATCTGTTATGATTACTTCTCCCTGCACTTGATAGAAGATGGCCCCCACCCTCACAGTTAACATTAGGTAACTAACAATAGACTAATGGGGCGAGTTTTCCCGAGGAGGGGAGGTGGAGATGCTGGAAGAATTATCCACTCCATTGTTTGCCTTAGCTGCTCAGTGGCATCTTTTACATTTAAAGATGAACTGTATTCCCATCCCCTGCCCTCTCTCCCCCCACCTTTGCAAAGGGTGATGATGATAATAATGCAGATGTCCAATATAATATAGTGCTTATTACATGCCTGGCTCTGGTCTAAGCACTTCACATACATACATACTTAATTTTCACAACAATTCTATGAAAAAAATTGAGGCACAGAGAGATTAAATAACCTGGCCTAGATCACACAGCTTGAGACTGGAAGACTTGAGATTTTTTAACCTCAGATGCCTAGCTTTATAGAGTTGGTGCTCTTCAGAGTCTGAGCTATATACTGCTCTGTTCAGTTTCCTTTGGGTCCAGGTGGCATTCCCAGCTATCCTCCTGTAACCCATGGACTAAATTGCATGATAAATAACCAACACCCTTCTTCTGTGACTGTTGAGGTTAAGAACATCCAAATCTATAGAAAATTTTATAAGAGTTTATTAGAGTTTATTTGAGCCAAACTGAGGACATGCCCAGAAGCAAGACCCCAAAAATGTTCCAGAGAATGGCAGTTTTTCAGTTCTTTTTATACATTTGGAATCAAAGGAGAGAATATAAGGAACATTACATGAAATCCATTGGTGGTAGTAGGTTAAGGATGTGGAGAGTGCAAGGAGGGGAAATCTCTATGACTGAATAAAAAATAAAATGGAGAGATATATTTCTTTTACATTGGTGGTGGGTACAGGGTAGTTTATATTTAACATTTACAGTAGTAAATAGTAATAGTATATATGCAACAAGACTATGAGCTTCCTTGAGGATGATTACCAGAGAGGTCTGGAAAAGAGGATTACTCTGGCATTTCAAAGGTATTTTACGCTACACTTAAAAGAAAAATGGACAGAGCTTGCTTAACGTGAAGATAAAAACCCTTTACTAAGGAAGTTATAGGCCTGGGTATGACTATCCACCAGGTAGGAATTTATGGTCTGATCACCCTGTGAGGTTACTTTGGTCTCTGAGCTTGTCAGATTTGTTAGTTACATAGCTCTCTTTTCCTTCATACAACATAAAATATTGGAGGGAAAATGGGACAACTGACTAAAAAATCCAATTAGAAAAGAAGAAAATGGGAAGAAACATCTAGGACATTCTAAGTGGTCTCTGCTTCAGAGTATATTACTATGGTCAGAGTGATAGTCCAACAAATTAAAGCACCAGGAAAAATCACAGGGATTAGTTTGTTGGCTAACTTCTTGGCAGTAGAGGAAATAGCTGACCTGAGGCCACATTTTTGGCTGCTATTATTCTGCTGAGAGGATTTCCATTATCTTTGTCCGTTATCACTCAGGGCCACTCCCTAGGGGTCTGTCTAACCAGAGCAGGTCACTTGTGGCTGGTGCTGACATCTCCTGTACTGGAGGTAAGGAATTTTGGGAGAGGTCATTCTCATAGTGAGCGACTCCTGTGCTTTTGCTTTGTAGGCTTGCGGGTGGGGAGGTGGTTTGAAGAGACAAGTCCTGTAGAACCTTTAAGAGGCTGCGTGACAGTTTCAATTTTTGAGACTGCTCTGTGAGCCAGTACCAGAGATCTTGTCTGGCCATAGCAGAATATGGCAGCCCTACACTTTGCTTCTTTCAGTTCAAGTGACCAGTAGAATACCAGCACACCTTTCTTCCAGTTCTGGTAGAGAGAGTCTGATGGGCTGAGCTTAGGTGAGAGTCCACTTCTGTTATAATCATCTATAATCAGAAGGTTACAGTCCTATCAGATAAACTTGACTCATGAGATCATCCTGGTGGGTTGAAAGAAAGGAAGGGGCAAATTCTCTGTGAAGGCAAATTGTCTGAATAGTCAATAGATCTTGATTATAATAATGCATCATGTATTAGAAGCCTCCAAGGTGCTAGAGAAGAAATTTTCCAATTCACCAGTTAATTATTTGCAGCACTTATGTTGGTAGGAGCTTGCAAATTAACTAGTTGTGAATTAACCTGGGGTAAGCTCATAAGAGCTGATGGCCTGGATCTCTGTCACTGCTTCCATGCTTCCCCCCCCCACCCCAAATAGTCTCTAGTGGAGCAAACACGGGGTGGAGGAGAGGTGGAATAGTTGGGGATCTGAAGTCCCTCATCTCTTCTTCAATCAGAAAAGCTTTTTTATTCTTGTCTTTCTCATCAGTTGCTTAATTCCATGCTGATGTAGTCCTTCAACAGTCCTTAAGAAGGCCTCTGCTGCAATTTAACCTGGTTAATCCACTCTTCCTACTTCTCTCCACTCAAATATAGGGGTAGAGGGGATCTATTGTAAGATTTTTTGAAAAAGATCTCTCTTCTGTATTCACTCTGTTCTTTTTGTGCATTGAGAATTTATTATCTCTGTGTGTGTCAGAAAACAATGAATGTGTGTGCAAATGTTTGGTTATGTATCTGGGCTAGTGAAAGCCAGTGATTATAGTTTTCTTAATCGATACTGGTAAACCAGACACAAGATTTTTTTATACTAAGAGGATTAAGTAATTTTATAACAGAAGATTTTCTATCTGGAAGGGTTGAGTGTTTAGTTCCCTATACCTAGCTGTTTTGGTAGCTTCAGGTGCTGTTGGGTTGCAGAAGGAGAATAGGAAGTTAATGAGGGACTTGAGTTTGAGGTCCTCATACCCCCCAACCATTGGGAAGGAAATAGTCAAATACACATAGATGTGATAGATGTAACAGAATCCACCATGTGATTCAAAGTTATTTGTGGTGTTAAAAGATAAACTGAGGCATATTAAAATTTTTAGGACTTTATTTGAGCAAAAATCAATTTGAATCAAACAGCACTAAACCAGAAGTGTTTAGGAGAACTCTGTTGATGGAAGCTGGGGAAAACTTACAAAGACAGAAACAAAGTAAGGAAATTATTGGCTGGCTATAGCTTACAGCCTAGTTGGCTGTTTACAGGCTTAGATTTTTGGTTTGCTCACATAGGTGCCACAGCATTAGTGTCACCTCAGTCTAATGGCCTCTTTGTTTAATTAACATTCCCCCCTCCCCTTTTGGTTGTCATGTCATACATGAGAGATTGACTAGAAATTAGGTATTAG